CCCCACCCCCCGAAGCACTTTGCGGGCGTCAGGAGGGCTGGGGTAACTGAATGGAAAAATGCCCACATTTTAGCGAAAAATGGGGCTGTTTTTGCCTTCCCCCACCCCCCGAAGCACTTTGCGGGCGTCAGGAGGGCTGGGGTAACTGAATGGAAAAATGCCCACATTTTAGCGAAAAATGGGGCTGTTTTTGCCTTCCCCCACCCCCCGAAGCACTTTGCGGGCTTCAGCAGGGCTCGGGGAAGGCAAAAATGCCCCATTTTTCGCTAAAATGTGGGCATTTTTCCCTTCCGTTACCCCAGCCCTGCTGAAGCCCGCAAAGTGCTTCGGGGGGTGGGGGAAGGCAAAAACAGCCCCATTTTTCACAAAAACAGGATGTGGAGACAGGGCTTTGTGAGGCCAAAAATAGCTGTATTCAGTGTATAAGGCGCACCAACATTTCCACACTTTTTAGTGGGAGAAAAGGTGCATCTTCTACGCTGAAAAATATGGTATTTCACTGATCGTTGGAAAAAAGGGGTGGAGAGTAAGAACGGAATCTGTATGGTTAAGCAAATTAAATACTCAGACAACACAATCTTTATCAAGCACTAAGAAATGTAATCAATAGAAAATTAATAAAATGTATTTAAAAAGAAAGAAAATGGAGCTGGTGGAGATGCCCAGGTGGGTTCCAGTGGAGTTAAGCAAAAGGGGTTGTTGAGCCTCCCTACAGGTAAGGGTCCTTACTCACAGCATCCTCCTTTGGCGTCCAGGCGCCTCGCTTTAAGTTAGGGTCCACTCGCTTGGTCCAGCGGTAGATCAGCTGGGCCGAGTCCCTCCCCTCCATGTAATATGCCACTGTGGAACAGACAACATTTACAGTCAGTATTTTACTGGATCAGAAAATCCCTATGGCTTGATCGTCACTTATGCTCAGCACCAGCTGCTTTGACCCTTCCCGCAGAAGAGGGCTTCCTCACATTACCTGAGCCAGATGCCTCTCAAGATCAGCTGCTCCAACATCTCACACCTGGGCACCTAAAATCCTCGCCTCTTTGGCCCTCAAATGCCAACCGGGGATGTTTTGGAAGGAGTCATGCAAAAATCTAAACCAGTGTTTCCCAATTTTAGCCATGTGAAGATGTGTAGACTTCAGCTCCCAGAATTCCCCAACCAACTTGGCTACCTGGGGAATTCTGGGAGCTGTAAATCCACACTTCTGGGAGGGAGACATTGGGAGGTGCATTCCAGACGATAACCAAGGGAACCAAGGACATATCACCAGGTGTCTGCCAGAGTCGTGGAGATTTTCCCATAACTGTTCTGACTTAGGCTTCCTGATAAAGCAGACGTAAAGTGAGNATGGCCCTGGTGGCTGCAGTTGGGCCGGAACTTGTTGGGGGATCATTGCTTGGGGCTGCATTTGCGGTTGCAGTTGGGCTGGGATCACTTGTGAGGCCATTACTTGTGGTTGGCATGTCCCAAATTGCTGCACCTGCACCAGCTGCTGGATGGGGGCTAGTGTCCACTGATACTACACCCATCCTTTACCTGGGTAGAAAGTCCACCCCGGTGGGATTTGGCTTGCTGGCGGTAATCCAAATACCGGCAATCCCCCAGAAGCTCTGCTGCGGGCTTGTCACCGGCTGGCGAGGCTGATTCATCCAACCCGGGTGTTGGGTCGTTTGTACTCCGGGGGGCTGCAGTTGGCCTCATTCCAGCTGCAAGGCTGTGGTCTGATCTGCTTTGTGCTGAATGGAATCTCCATGGTGCTACATGTTCATGGCCCAGGAAGGTGAATGTTGGCTGGATCAGGGTCCACCTGGGTGACTCAGTGCTAAGGCAAGGGGTTGTCCCACTCAAGGTAAGCTGTCTGAATTTGTCTGGAAGCCGGCCAGCAACTGGCTGCGTGACAGTGGCAGGAATTCCCAATCTCCGGAGTGCCTGTTTTGCATCTGCTTTGGCATTCTCCACTCATGAGGCGAGGCAGATCCTGCACCCATCTGTGGTTCCAACAGCATCTCCTGAAGGGAGGTTAATTCTGCGGCTTCGCTTTGAAGAGTCAGGTCTGATTGGAGGTTCACCCGGGAGCCGACTCTTTGCTTCTGGCTCCCAACTGGCATTCCCTCTTAGTGGCCTCCCCTGCTTCCAACATGGCTTGGGAAGGCAAGTAGATGGTCTTGACGTAAATCACCAATCCTTCATCTATGGTTTCCCCCTGGGCTTCTTCTCTTCCTCTATCTTTCCGAGTCTTCATGCCATCCTGTTCGGGTCGACGCTGGGGCTCAGGATCCCGGACAGCATCCTGAGGCTGTCATGATGTTTTTTTTTGTTTTGCCAGCTGTGCTTATATTCTAAGATATAAGGTAGGCTGATTCTTCTCTGTAAGCCTACTGCGCATGTCCTTTTGCCTTTCTTTTTCTCTTTCTGTTTGCCTGCCACGAGGAGGTAGGCTAGGAACTTTACCAGAATGTAGTTATTAGCCCGTAAGTTTGTTTGTTATTTATTTTACAATAAAATGTGCTTTCTTAGAATCTACCTCAGGTTTATTTTACTTAATCATAGAGTATACTCAAAGGAAAAACCACGATTCACCCCTCATCAAACACAGGGCTGAATTTACAACCCTCACAGAGGCTACCAGGGGTAGCTGATAAAATATTTTTAAGGGAGATTCTGGTTAATGTCAGGGTTCCAAAAAACACCCCTAATGAAATAAAACTCCAAGGCTTGCATTTTCTTACTTTATTAGAGATGTCATGGTGGCACATCTGGGAAAACCCAAATCTGAAAGTTTCCAGGTTTTCCCACCCAGTTGAAAGTTCAAGATCCTTCCCCAACACCCACAAGTTCATCACATGTTCCAATCTTCCACTGCACAAAGATAGATTCCTCCCATCCACATCTGGCCAGGTGCAAAGACAACAACGACCTTGACTTTCTAAGAAGAATGTTATTATGGCTACATATTACCCAACTCCATATATTCCCCCCTCCCATTTTCCCACAGTAGAAGGTATGGCAGGCTTGAAATCCAAACCAAAAGAAAAGATGGCTTGCAGATCTGACACAAGCAGTAATAGATACCATCAAGTCTGTTTGTATTAGTAGAAATTTATGCTCCAAATGGGGGACAAGAACAATTCTACAAAAAATTAAATGTCATTCGTGGTATAAAAATCTAACAATCTATGCATATTAGGAGATTTAAATGCATTGATAGATAAAAAATTAGACTATAGAAGTAACAAAGCAAAAAAGGGAAATAGAAGAACTTTACTGAGAACTTTTTCTGAGATGTCAGATGAGTTAAATATGCAGGACATTTGGAGAGAGAAAAATCAGGAAAAGTATCAATATACCTACTACTCTAGCAGACCTCAATCCTGGACCAGAATTGATATGATCTAGATGATGATGGCATTAAATTCAGAAGTGAATGAAGTTGAAATAAAAACAAACATTTGGGCAGACCACAACCCAATGAGAGTCATTTGAAAAGGACAAATAAAACCTGCAAGGTGGACTTTTAATAGATCGATACTAAAGGAGGAAGATTTGGACAGATGATGGAAAAACAAATAAGTTTTTTCTTCAAAGAAAATAAGAAAGAAGATACATCCTTGCAAAATCTATGGGACACCACAAAAGCATATATGAGGCAAGTCATTATAGCATACATGGCAAATAAAAATAAAAAAAGAAACAAAGACAGAAATATTTAGAAGAGGAATATAGAAGACCTGGCGGAGAGTTACAAAATGAACCGCAAAAAAAGAGCATAAAACAACAAATGGACATAACCAAACATAAATTGGATGCCAGTGGCATCCAGGGGGCGCCTGACAATGTTCCCTCTAATTTGTTTTCAGGGTGAGCGGAAAAGTATAGTGTTTGAGCNGCTTGGTATTAATTTATTTTTCCATTTCTGAGCGAAGGCAAACCTCACTGCCGTAATTATGTGTAGAATCAAATACTGGATTTCTTTTTAATATTTTGCAGTCATTATTCCTAGTAGAAAAACTTCTGGTTTCCAATCTATTTGGATTCCTGTTATTGCCTCGAGCCAATTTTTAATCCTTTTCTAATACTGCTTAGCCTCCTCACAAGTCCACCATAAGGGTTGGACTATGTTCCATGTATTGATTCACATTTTTAACATTTTGGGGAGGTATTTGTTAAGATTTTAGCTAACCTTGTTGGTGCCAGGTGCCATCTGTAAAACATTTTGTACTGGTTTTCCTTGTATGCAACCGATAGTGTCATTTTTAAATTTGTCCCCCAATTTTTTTCCCATTTATTGTTCTTTCATGATTTCTTTTTCCATTTTGTACTTCAGGAGAAATTTATATATCCTATCATCTTTCTTTCTGAGCTTTGGATTATTTTATCCAATTCATGTGGTTCCATTTCAATGCCATAGCATCATTATTGTGTTTAGTTTTGAATTGCAATTAGGTTAGCCAGTCAACTTTCATGTTCTGTTCTGCCAATTCTTTAATTGTTTTTAAATTTCCCTGTCCATTAATTAAGTCTCTGTATCTTAACATTTTATTCATATCTGTAAAATTTGGGTGCATTGTCCTTTCTGTTGGAGATAGCCAATTTTCACATAGTGATTTTTTAAAATTTTGAGCCAGTTTTGCAATAACGTATTTCTAATTAGATGTTTTTGAAGTATTTGTGCTTTATTTTTATCATCCCATAGGAACGTTTGCCAATCTGCTTGCAGATCATGATCTTCTAAAGTCAAGATTCTTTTATTCTTTAACTCTATCCAGTCCTTCCCCCATGTGGTTGTACTGCTAATGCGCATAACTTGGTAATGCTAAGCCTCCTCTCTCTTTGATATCTTGCATTGACTATAGTTTAATCCTCGCTTTTCATCCTTGCCAGATGAACCTAGCAGTTATTTTGTTTACTTCTTGAAATAAGGTTTTACCCAGATTAATAGGTGCGACTTGCAACAAAAATAAAATTCTTGGTAAAATATTCATTTTAACTGTGGCTATA